GTGGGTTGTTACACACACCAAGTATAATTAGGGGCTAAGTTATTAATCCCGAGTGTGTTTTCGTTCTGCAACTGTAGGGTTGGCATCCGAGGACGCTCGTTAGCTTGTATATAGCCCAGTGCTCTGTGAGTAACATTGTTGTAAAGATATGTTCAATTATGATTATTTTCTAAATGATCAACTTTACTGCTTACCGAAATGTTATTGTTTAATGAATGAATGTTTGCCCCATTTGTAAACTGTACTTGTGGCATCCATAGCAACCTACTGTTACTGTTACTACTACTATTATAGAGATCTCTATCGGTTCCAATGTTTGGAACTATTACTGTTACTGTTATGATGGCCATCAACTGATTGTTCGGTCTGTTAAGACCTACTATACTGTTTTGCTATGGGATATACCACATATGACTACTATGGTTCTAAATGACTAACTTACTGACGCAATTGACTGTTTTAATTACTAAAATGACATTCATTCTTAACCTCTTTACGCATTTGTTATTCACTGGGCTTTAGCTCACTGTTTATATATATATATAGGTGTCCAGGCACCGGACTGGAGCTAGGAGCGTCGGGTTAGCTCTTGTTTTGTTAAGCCAACCTTTGTGCCTCGCCTCGAGGTTTCAAGTCCGTTCAAGCCACGGCTGTTTGGGGGTGTTCAGATTCACCATTCTGTTTTTGTTTTGTAATAGATGAATAAGACTTGACTGTACAGTTATAGTTAGGGATTTGGTCCCTGACATGGATATTTGTGTGTATGTTGCATGTACATATGTTTTGGTTATCAATGTGGCATGTTTATAAAAAGTCTTTTTGCATTTAGACTGTCACAGCTCAATGGACATCTTTTATTTACTGTTTTGGCTTCTGCCAGCCCCTTTACTCTGTATTTCTGTCATTACTATTAAGCAGGCCTTCGATAATCACGGATTACTGGTCGGTTGCGATGCTAAACCCATAGAGACGGGTTTGGGTCGTGACATTGATGAACTGCACTCGCTTAGATATAGCTTATGCAGTAAGTAAATTAAGTAGATATACGAGTAATTTAGGAGCGGAACACTGGAAAGCAATTATAAGGGTTTTAAGATGTCTCAGATTTACTTGTAACATTGGGCTTAATTATACTAGATATCTAGCAGTACTTGAAGGATACTGTGATGCAAACTGGGTATCGGATACTAGAGACTCAAAGTCCACTAGTGGATATGTCTTTACTCTTGGTGGTGTGGTTGTATCTTGGAAATCTTCCAAACAGACTTGCATTGCTAGGTCTAATATGGAATCAAAATTCATAGCTTTAGATAAAGTTGGAGAAGAAGCAGAATGGCTTCGCCACTTCCTTGAAGATATTCCAATGTGACCAAAACCGGTGCCTGCAATATGCATACATTGTGAAGTCAATCAGCAATAAGTAGAGCACAGAGTCATATGTATAACGGTAAGTCACGACACATTCGTCGTCGACATAACACTTTGAGACAATTACTCTCTAATGGAATTATTTCCATTGAATATGTGAAATCTAAATACAACATAGGGGATCTACTAACCAAAGGGTTAGCAAGAGAGCTAGTTGAAAATTCATCGAAGGGATGAGACTTAAGCCTATTAAATAAGAGTTACCACAACAGCAACCCAACCTAGTTGACTGGAGATCCCAAGATCTAGGTTCAAAGGGACAACCGAGTTGTGTATGACTCAGAAGGATCACTGGAAAGTCTAACTCTTATCCATTTCTATGATGAAATAGTGATGTTTGTAGCGTTTTTAGGTTAAGTAATACTTTTGATGATTCTTATATCTAGGTAAACCTAGTGGAGTATGGCAGGATACTCTTCATAAGAATCACCTATATGAGTGTGAACTGGGCCGGTTCTATGAGATTTGTGAAGGACTACAATTCTCTAAAGCACTCATGAAAGACCAGGTTGTTCAGGGCCAAAATGAACACAATAGTGAGAACTAAACTGTGTCTGGTAATATACTGTATGAGTTCTATTGTCTTGGTTTATACAAACAGCTGAATAGTTCAAAACATCATGTTCACTAGTTAGCTAGTAAATCTGATAGTATCTCACAAGGGAAGGTTCAAAGCCAAAAGCTACCTATCCTTTTCAGAATATTTTCAATTTCTGTTCTCTCTGTAATTAGATCATGTTGCATTTTCTCTTCATCAAATTCCATTCATGTGGGGGATTATTGGAAAAATTGGTTTTATAAGACTTATTGTGGGCAAACTTTGAGCTCAAAATTGAGTGGGCCCCAAACGTCTTTTGAGATGGGTCCAAAGAGGTGACGTGTTCCTTGTCGCATGGCAAGTCACATGGTGAAACGGTTTGTCAAAACCATTTATGAGTGAATGGGAAGTTGACGTCGTTTTCGGGTTCGTAGAATGGACAATTTAAAGAAGTAAAATATGGGTTTCCTTGAAATGGTTATCCCATATTGGAAACTTAAGAGAACTTATGTGTGTATATAAGTTCTAGGTGGCAACGCTTAGGTTGGGCCCCAAGGGGCACCCTAAGTTTGTAGAAGGGAGAAGTTATGGACAAAATGAACCTTAGCCCAAACCACCACGCGCGCGCCGCTGCCATCGTCTGGTTGAGCCGTGCCGGGCGCAGGTGTGGGTTGGGTTGGTTCTAATATTAATTTTTTTGGACAAAATTTATTTGAATTTTTTCCTATATTCTTGCGGGAAAAATTAATTTAAATTTTGTGCCAATGTAATTTTGAATTTGAATTCAAAATTTTGTCCAAAATTTTTACCTCCTTCAGTTCAAATTCCTAACAGAAACTGCCGGATAGATTCGAACAGTTTTATTATAGAAACTGCCGGACAGATTCAAAACAGTTGTATAACTGCAGCAGTTAGCCAATCTATCCAGTTTTCAAATCTGAATCTGTTTAAGAGTTTTGCACCTGCTCAAGTTCAAATTCATACCTTTTTGGGTCTGTTTTTTGCCTATATATACCAGTCATTTTCCAGCAATTTTTTGGTTCCGAAAATTCATTTTTCGGTTCCGAAAATTCATTTTTCTTGCCTTCATTTTGCTTTCTTGTATCATTATTCTTCATACTAGTTTTAGAATAAAATAAAGAGAGTATAGAATACAAGGTTTTTGTTCGCCGTACAAATTGTTTGGAGTGTTACTACAATTTGTAAAGATCATTATATCCTGGGAGATAGACACCATTTGTTCGTAAGCACCGAATCTGTCTTAAAGACAGAGTGTCTCACACTCGACTTGATCTTTTAATTTTTCATTCGGTTCGGTAAAATAAATTTTGTAAGTTATTTATTTTATTTATTTGATTTAGTTTCAATTATTTATTGTACACAGAAGATTGTTCCAACAAGTTTGTGATTGTATTTTTTGAGAAACTTTTTCTTTTTATTTTCAAAAAGTGCAATGCATTAGTTTATGACAAACAAAGATGATTTGTGTGTGTGTGTGTGTGTGTGTGTGTGTGTGTGAGTTTGGACAACTAGAGTCAACTGCCAAATTCTTTGAGTTAAAACTTGAGCTGAAGCTTGGGTAAAAAGTTGGGCATCTACCGGGGGGGTGGGGGGGAGAAGAAATCAGCTATACTTCAAGTTGAGCCTGGACAGACACAATCTCCCGAGTTGCAGTAGTACCAAAATCACATGTGAGACAGACTTCTCCTTGTGACAAGAACATAAAATTGCTCCCCACTTAATTATTTATTTTCTTTTATTTTTATTTTTATTTTTTTAGCCAGAAGACCAGCTTGATATGTGATGTCTATTGGTTGGTTTAGGATGTGAATTGGTTTTTTGATTATTTTTCGTTTGGGGTCAAAAAATCTCATTTGGAATAGAATTTTAGTTTTTTTGACTTTTGTGAGAGAAGAAATAAAATGATTATTGGTGGTTAGAACATTTTATCTTATTGAATTAAAAAGTTTATTTTATCTTTTTGTAACTATTTTAATCAAAAAATCTTATTTTAGCTTATGTCAAACGAAATTAGATTTGTTTGGGTAAGTAAAGAGAAATTGCTAGGTGAATGCAATTGTAGTTTACTCTGAATAAATGGAAGTAAAAAGCTGCAGTAATCACCAGAGAATTGAAATAGAGGGAAGGGAATCTCACCAAAAACAGGGTTTAACATTCAAGATTAGGCAGGTGAAATTGGAGACTTTACTTCTTATATATAGTTATTTTGGGAAGACAAAAAAAAGTTGGCTTTTGACTTATTTTTAAAAAGTCAAAAGTTAGCTTATTTGAGCAAAAAATTATTTGACAAATTAGAAATAAATCAATTTCCGAAATTATGAAAATACTCTTCTGACTATTAGGATAAAGTTGTAATTTTACATAATTTCATGAGGATAATATGGTCAATTTATCTTTTTTTTTCTGTTGATGTGACAACATATAAAAATAATTTAAAAAAAAAAACAAAAAAATAATTTTTTTCATCTTCCCAAATAGTTTTGGTCTAAGCCAAAAATTATTTCCATCTTTCTAAAATCGTAGTGACTAAATAAGGAAATCAGCTACTGAGGAACCTTCCAACTAACTATGGTAGTAGTTGTATGACCGACTATATATTAATATTGTGTTTGATTTCATTTAAATCAACCCGATATTTCATTTGAAAGAAGAAATAAAAAATAAAAAAACTATCCCATCATATCAGGAGTCTGACACTCCTCTCCTCAATTTTTTAAAAATTACTTTTTAACCTAAGAATTTTATGTATATGCTCTCTAATTTATTTAAAAAAAATATAATCTGTGGAAACAAATGAAATGCAAGTAATGACGAGAGAGATTTGACTGATCGAAATGGCAAGTGATTTGGCTCAAAGCATGATAATTTATTTTATTTACAAAAAATAAAAGAAATATTTACTTGAATAAATTAGGACAAAATCAGCTTGACCCGCAGTCTCATAAATTATTGTTTAATCCCTCTTATAAATCAAACTTAAATCATCAAGTTGATGAACAAAATATGAGTTGCTATTATAACCTCATGAATCTCTTCCTTGTTTTCCTTAGTTTTCATGCCTTTTTGGGCACATTACAAACTACTAGTTCTTCTTCTTCTAGCAATAATGGTACAGTTGTCTTTCAAGTTGGTGTGGTTCTTGATTTGGACTCGGTAGTAGGTCGCATGGGACTGAGCTGTTTGGAAATGGCTCTCTCAGACTTCTATTTGGTTCACAGTAATTACAAAACCAGGATGGTTCTTCATGTTAGGGACTCTAAAGGCCAAGTCATTGATGCTGCTTCCGCTGGTATGCTCTCTGTTATCAGTACGATTCGTGGCACTGATGTGGCACAAACACATTTTGGCCTTAGATTTTTGTGGAATCCACATCGTTCCTATGTAGGTCACACATATCAATGACTAGAATGTGTTTGTGGCATTGTCACAAGTGGCACCAAATAATTTTTGTTGTTATACATAACTTGCGCTTATAGATTATAGGGAAATTACAAGACTGGAACAATGAGAATTTATTTATCAAAAGCTGAGGATGCAACTTTTGTTATGATTTTATTGCATAGAAAAAGTTGCATCCGCCCATCTTCTTGTAATTATTTTTGATCTTGTATACTGATTTGTAATTTTCCTTAGATTATGTCATAACAAAGGTTTGTTGCCTTGCTAGTCTTTTCTTACAATAATGCTAGGTATCTAAAAAAATAAATATATGGAAAACTTTGAATTCTTATCTTCGATCTTGTTCTATCTTTAGTATTACAACAAAAGTCATTTGCTTCTTTATATAGAGAATTTAGTACATTAACCATTCCCATACATTTATGTATATTCACACATCCAAAACCCCCCTTCAAACCCTAACATTTTAATTCCCGAGCTAGACTCTTCAATGTGTCTAATAAATAAATTTTAAATTAACTTCCAACGTCATCAACCTTTTGTCTAAGGCTTTGATCATCACCCGTGGAATGTGAAATTAACTCCACGGGGAAAAGCAAGATGATGTGTCCTCTCCTTAACTTCTGTAAGAGAAACCAAAGTCATTGATCACCCCAACCTGGTGAGGTCAGGAGGACCCTTCAACGATCAAGTCATATGCTGATTGGCCATGGAAATTAGATGTGGAATAACTGTATGGAATGGGTTTTTTGAATTACCTTGGTCTGTCCTTTGTGCTTTACCTACTTCCCTATTTATAGCTTTTTAGTTTTCATCGTGATCGTCTATTTATCCTTTGATTGGAGGGTTCTGCCCTTGCTAGTGGTCACTTGGGTTAGTTGCCAACTTGTTTTCGTTATTGATTGTCGGGTGTGAGCTCATTGGACAGTGAAGATGGTGTCAAGTAGTAGTGGCCAACTTGTTTTGCATCATGATCGTTTGATGAGAGTGATCGGACGACTCTTCCTTCTGCTAGCCCTAGTCTATGTTGTCATACTTCTGACATCGACTCTAATCTGTTGGACTAGTATTTGATCTGATGATTCTGTTATCCCCTGTGATTTCCCTTCTAGAAGAATATATTTTCATTCACGCATCCAAGTTTGGACTCCTCTTGAATTGATTTCCGTTTTTGGGGCCTATTTCAACTCTTTTGGGCTTTTCCTATTTTGGGCTGGGCCTTGAACCCATATTTTTCCCACCACGCCACCTCATACGCAAACCCATCCTATTAAGCCACGTGTCCTGCGCGGTCCACCTTGGCATGAGCTAGGTCCAGGTTAGATTTAGCCTATTATGCCTAATGGTTGTAGTGTTTTGGACAGGAGGACAGTAAGATTTAAGAATAGAGGATCATTGGTTGTTTCAGATACGCTATAGCTTTACTTTGTATATAATTAGTAGAGAATTTCGGGTGAATTAAAAGGAAAATATTATACTGAATATTTATACATCTGCATTAATCTTCTTGGTACTTATGCACACAGAAGTACTTAATCATTACTTTCTATCTTGAAATCTTCTCCGTTATGTAAATACAGCTCTTGATTTGTTGAAAGATATAGAGGTGGATGCAATAGTTGGTCCCCAAAAATCTTCGCAAGCCAATTTTGTGATGGAACTTGGAGACAGAGCTCATGTGCCTATCATTTCTTTCTCTGCAACAATTCCTTCTGTGCTTTTCCCAACTCCATACTTTGTTCAAACAGCTCTTAGAGATGACACTCAAGTTGGGGCCATTGCTGCCATTATTGAAGCCTTCCAATGGAAAGAAGTTGTCATTATTTATGAAGACACAGACTATGGGAATGGAGTAGTTCCATATTTGTCAAATGCATTACAAGATATCGCCCGAATTTCCTACACAAGCATCATTCCTCTTTCAGCTAGTGATGATTTTATACTCAGTGAGTTATCCAAGATGATGAGAATGGAAACAAGGGTATTCGTGGTGCACATGACGCACTCTCTTGGCACACGCTTATTTCTTACAGCTAAGGAAATAGGAATGCTGTCTGAGGGCTACGCATGGATCATCACTGATGGGCTAATGGACCTACTCTACTCAATGGATTCTCGTGTCATAGAAGCAATGCAAGGTGTCTTGGGGGTAAAGCCTCGCATTCCCAAATCAGAAGAACTCAACTCTTTCACATTTAGGTGGAAGAGGAAGTTTCTTCAGGATAATCCTACTATCAAACAGGCTGAGATAAGCATTTTTGGGCTATGGGCATATGACACTATGTGGGCACTGGCTATGGCAGCAGAGAAAATTGGATTTAGGGAGCCAATCACTTTAGAGAAAAATGCAATGAATTTGACAAACCTATTTAGTTTTGGAATCTCTCAAACAGGTCCTAAACTTCACAAAGCAATGTTGGAGACAAGATTTGAAGGGTTGAGTGGTGAGTTCTATCTTGTTAATGGACGATTACAACCTTCGCCATTCCAAATATTAAATGTAGTTGGAAAGGGGGAGAGAGAGGTCGGAATCTGGACACAATCTCATGGAATTTCAAGGGAATTCAACATGAATGCGGCAAATTCTTCATCAACTTTGAAGGAAAACTTTCGAGCAATTATATGGCCTGGAGAATCAACACATGTACCGAAAGGTTGGGAAATTCCAGTAAATGGTAAGAAGCTAAGAATTGGAGTCCCAGTAAAAGATGGTTTTACTGAATTTGTAAAGGTGGAAATAGACTCTCAATCCAACTCCACAACATTCAGTGGATATTGTATAGAAATATTTGATTCTGTAATAAAAGCATTATCATACGATGTGCCACATGAGTACGTTCCCTTCAAGAAAGTTGATGATGAGAATTATTATAATGATCTGGTATACCAAGTTTATCTTCAGCAGGTCAGTTATATACTTACAGATAAGATTTTTAATGGCTTATTTGCCTTTGAAATTATCAGTTTATTCTTATGGAACTAACACTAAAAATGTGAGGTTTTTTTTGCTGGTCGAATTAGAATTATGATGCTGCAGTAGGGGACATTACAATCACAACAAATCGGTCGTTCTATGTGGATTTCACATTGCCATTTGCAGATGGAGGGGTTTCCATGATAGTACCAATTACATATGAGGACAATAACAGTAAATGGATCTTCTTGAAACCGTTCAATATGGACCTGTGGCTAACAAGCATAGCTTTCTTCATCTTTACTGGATTTACTGTTTGGGTTCTCGAACATCGAATAAATATTGCATTTAGAGGTCCACCTTCCCAGCATGTTGGCATGATCCTTTGGTTCCCCTTTTCATCACTAGTAAATGCACACAGTTGAGTAATGTCTTATTTGTACGCATTTTGTTTAATCAATGTCCAACTTCCTTCTCATAGACCACGTGCTTTCTTGTAGGAGAAAAAATAGTAAGCAACTTGGCTAAGTTTGCTATGGTGATATGGTTGTTTGTGGTGCTTATATTGAGCTCAAGCTACACTGCAAGCTTGTCATCGAGATTAACATTGCAAAGGCTTCAACCAATTGTGACCGATGTGAACTCACTCATAAAAAATGGGGACTATGTTGGGTACCAATATGGCTCTGTCGTTGGTGATATCTTGAAGGGAATGAAGTTTAATGAATCCAAACTCAAGTCGTACAAATCTCGTGAAGATTGTCATGAAGCTTTATTAAAAGGAAGTAAAAATAACGGCATATCAGCTTTTTTTGATGTGGTGCCTCACAATACGATTTTTCTTTCCAAATATTGTGACAAATACATGGCAATAGGGCCCCTCTATCGAACAGAAGGATTTGCATTTGTAAGTATTTCTCTTCTCTTAGGCTATGCTACTGATTCCCTACTAAAGGTGCATGTGTACTTGGTTAGAGCATCCAAATTAGAAGTAGTTTCTTCAATCCCATCTTGAATTTAGTAAATTTTTGGTATTTGAGGATTTCATCACTCTGTACACAGAGATATGTTTGGTATCAAAGTAGGCATTGTGATCCTGTAATTATGTTTGGAACTGTTTAAGTGAAACATACTATTGTTGACACATTCTAATTATTCAAAAGATAGCAGTAATAGGGAAAGCCTATTCTTACATAAAATTTATGCAAAAAGTGCATTCAGAATGATATGATGATGAAATTTTTGAAATTAAGTTCCTTCTTATGGATGTTTTATTTTAAAATGAATTGCTTAGTTCAAACATGTCATATTGTACCCAAAAAAATGTATTTTTTTTGTTCGTATAGCATATCACGCGTAGTAATATTGCTCATTCATGATATAAATCACCTTCTTTGCATTTATATTTTCAGGTTTTTCCTAAAGGGTCTCCTTTAGTTGCTGATATATCTCGTGCAGTAATTGCCATAACAGAAGGTCGTAAGATTTTGGACACTGAGCAACATTGGTTAGGAAATACCACATGTCCAGAGCACAATTCTTTCACCTCAAATAGCTTAACTCTCCAAAGTTTCATAGGCCTTTTCATTATTACTGGATGTGTCACAGTTCTGTGCCTTATTGTATACATAGTCAAGTACATATATGGAAACATAGATCTTCTTAAAAGAATATGGAACTCTAGCACCACAACTTGGTCTAGATTTTGTGCACTATGCAGGCATTTTGACCAAAGAGACCTCTCATCCTATCCTTTTAGCAAGAAGAGAGACAGGATAGATCAAGATTTGGAACTTAATGACATTGGTGGATCGTTTCATTTTAGTGACGCTCCAAGCTTTTCAAGAAATTCTAACTCCAATGAAATGGTTTCGCCAGTAGAAGAAGTAGATGATGCAATTGAGGGTGTCAATCCAAACTCAGAAGATATGGCTGTAGTGCATATTTGACATCAACTGGCATCTTTTAATGCTTAGATTTAACAAAAGGCGAAAAGGAAAGAAAGCAGTGTGACAACTCTCAAGGCAAGAAAAAGAAAAAAAAAATTGTGCTCCATGTAGACATTGGTGTAGTTCTTGACTGCTACATACCTAGTTGCTTTCAATATTTTGCAAATGGTTTCGGTTAATCTGGACTGTGAACCACTTGATCTCCTTTGAATTTATCTCTTCCAATTTCTTTTTCCAGGATGCCCAATTGTCGTAATTTGCTTCTATTGTGGCCTCCTTTTTTGCTTTAACATTTTAGAATAGGAATGACTGTCGCAAAAATATAGACTAATAGCTATAAATTTTTTGTTTGTTTTAAGGTTAGTACACCGTTAGTCCCCTAATTACAAGGTCTGTCTTATTTTGGTATCGGATATTTCAATTGTGTCAAATTGGTCTCCACATTGTTTAAATGATCTCCCAACACCGTTTTTTGGATAAAAAAAATACCCTTGTTTTCATTATAAAATTTGGACAAAAAATGATTCTGGGAAGAAATTGACGCAACGAAAAGTTGGAAGAAATTGACATATTGTGAGAAAGAAGAGAGAAAAGTGGATACTTGTCCAAATTTATGTTTCTCTATTCTTTTTTTTTTTTTTTTTTTTCCTGATGAGCAAAAAGGAGTCCTTTATTAACGAACAAAATAATACATCACAAATGACAAGGCAGAGCGAAAAAATGCATCATAGTAGTTCTGACTCATCCCAATTAGATTTACACAAAAAATGGATGTAAGGCTCCCAAACAAAGCAAGGTTTCAACAAAAGCAACAGGGGAAAACAAAAATAACAAACACCAAACTGAACCCCTGTTCCAAAATAGCTGCCTGAAGACGTCAAAAAACACCTAATCAATCTAAACTAGGAACCAGAATTTCAAAACATAATCTAACGGCTAATAATGTTTTGGAACAGAGAGAAATAAAAGATTTAAGAAAAGAGGTTTTGTCCGAGAAAAAGCACATGTGAAAACTCTAGTGGCGTGACTTTAAAGGCAATTTTGTCCATTAATTTGACTTTTACATATCATTAGTGTGAAAGCAAATTTCTGGTTCATGGCATATCCATTCTATTTTCTTGCAGTTGTCGTTGTTATTAAGCACCAGGTTGGTGATTGGAAGCAATCAGGCAAAGGCAAACAAGTGTTAAAATAACACTTTGAGAGAGACCACTTATGTGTTTTTTTATCTAATCTTTAATTACCTGGAAAATTGCAGAGGAACGACAAACAAGTATATTCTTTTCTCATCCGTAAAATATCCCTCGTTAACAGTGGCGGACCAACTTAGAGATTAGGAATGCAAACGAGCTGACTCGATCCTTAAGTATTTTTAGACTTACTTATTAAGATTTTAACGAGTTGAAGTTTAAGTTCGAATTCGAGCTTTAGTTTAATAACAATTTAACGAATTGAGCTCGAGCCGAGTTGGTTTAGGTTTGACTTAAACTCGAGTCTGTTCACGATCTTTAATGAGTCAAAAAAATTATAAATTTATACTTGCGTATGAGACTAAAGTTATAATTGAAATTTTGATTATACAATTATATATAAATATACTAAAAAAAAGTCAATAGTTTACCAAAATAATAATATTTACCACCACTATTATATAAATATATTATCTATAGTTAACTATTATTTACATTTATATTTTTTAAATATATAAGTAGCATAATTATCTTATTTTTTATACATATTTTTATATTATTTAATATATAAATAATAAATGTTAAACAAGCCAGGCAACAAGTTAAGCTTACGAGCCGAACTTTAGTATCTTTAGGTTTGTTTATTAAAATTTTAATGAACTCGAGCTCAAACTCGAACGCAAAAAAATAAAAATAAAAATAATTAAAAAACCGAATTCGAATGAGCTCTTACCGAGTCGAACTTAAACTTATTCACGTACAGTTTTATTCATTTGCAGCCCTACTAGGAATGAGAGGTGGTCATGGCCCCTTTCAAGTTTTGCAAAACTACAATATCAACTCTACATTTTAAGAATATTCTTAGAATGTATAATGGGTAGTTTCTAAGTTTATAAAAATTACTTTACTAGCTATTTATTTTATCAGTATTTCATAATATATAATGGTTCTATTTGGTGGAACTTTTCTTAAGTTAAAAGTTGATAATAAGAAAGCAGAAGTTAAAAGCAGTCCTTCTCTACCTTTCAAATAATTAATTTTTGGGAGCTTTTTTGATAAATTCACTTTCTAAGATCTTTATTCTATCCAACCATATTCTTTTTGACTATTCCATTGGGTTCTATTTGAGATAAGAAGACCAAAATACTTTTTTCATCTACTTATTTTCCATTTAGTTCACATTATTTTCTTATATTTCAATAAGTCCTATGGGTGATATAATTACCAAAATACTCCTAATGTGAATGTTCACACCGTCAATATGAATGTTTATATCGTCAATGTGTAGGGGCCAGACCCATGTCGATCCTCGTGGGTGCCTGGAAAAGTTTGAGTCGGGCCGGGCCCGCTCGGCCCATTAACAATGTGAATATTGACATTTAACAATGTGAATATTGACATTGACATTGACATATTAACATTCACATTAATAGGAGTGTAAAATTGACCCGCGTCCCATGGCGGAGCGAAACCCGCCCACGGCCCATGGGCGGCCCGGGGCGGGCCTGGGGCTGCCCGTTGACAATGTGAATATTTACATTGACATGTTAGCATTCACATTGATAAGAGTATAAAATTGGCTCACGGCCCATAGGCAGCCAAAAGCTCGCGCGCAGCCCGGGGTGGGCTCGGCCCGGCCCGGCTCGTTGACAATGTGAATATTCACATTGACATGTTAACATTCACATTGATAGGAGTTTAAAATTAGCCCACGCCTTGTGGCTGCCCGAAACCTGCCCACGGCCCGTGGACGGCCCGGGGCGGGCCCGGCCCGGCCTGTTGACAATATGAATATTCACATTGATAAAAGTGTAAAATTGGCCCGCACCCCGTGGGCGGCCCGAAGCCCGATCGTAGCCCGAGGCGGGCTTGGCCCGACCCGTGACAATGTAAATATTCACATTGACATGTTAACATTAACATTGATAGGAGTTTAAAATTAGCCCACGCCTTGTGGCTGCCCGAAACCTGCCCACGGCCCGTGGACGGCCCGGGGCGGGCCCGGCCCGGCCTGTTGACAATATGAATATTCACATTGATAAAAGTGTAAAATTGGCCCGCACCCCGTGGGCGGCCCGAAGCGGGCTTGGCCCAACCCGTGACAATGTGAATATTCACATTGACATGTTAACATTCACATTGATAGGAGTTTAAAATTAGCCCACGCCTTGTGGCTGCCCGAAACCTGGGCCCAGCCCGCCCGAGGCGCAATGTCTTTTTTTGTGGAAAATAATCAAATTTTGGTAGAAAAAATTAAAAAGAATTAAAAAAAAATGGTTAGGCTCGCCCAAGCCCGATCTAAGCTCAAGGCTAGGCCCAGGCCCACCGACCAGACCTGAGGCTCGATCCATCGGCCCGTCCAAAGCCCGAATACCCTTGTGCCAAGGCTAGGGCCTGGGCCTAATTTTTTGGCCCGTGGGCTGGGCCGACACATATTTTTTCAGACACCCACGAGGCTCGATATGGGTCGGCCCGGGCCTCTACGCATTGATGATATGAACATTCACATTGACGATGTGAACATTCACATTATGGGTATTTTGGTAATTATGTCTCCCATAGGACTTATTGAAACATTAGAAAATAATGTGGACTAAATAGAATATAAGTAGATGAAAATGGTATTTTGGTCTTCTTACCTCAAATAGGACTTAATGGAATAGTCAAAAAGAACGTAGGCTGCCCGAAGCCCGCCCGCGGCCCGGGAAAGACTCGTTTGGGCCCGGGCTCGAGCCTAGTTCGAGACCCTAGGCTAGGGCTTGGGCCATCACTTTGAAGCCCCGTTAAGGCCTATTCAAGGCTTGGTTCGAGGCCCGGCCCGCGCGCGAGGCCTAGTGTCTTTTTTTGTGGAAAATAATAAAATTTTGGTAGAAAAAATTAAAAAGAATTAAAAAAAATGGCCAGGCTCGCCCAAGCCCGACCCAAGCCTGAGGCTAGGCCCAGACCCATCGGCCCGACCCGAGGCTTGACCCACCGACTCGAGCCCGGACCCAAACGAGCCTGCCCTGGGCCACGGGCAGGCTTCGGGCAGCCCACAGGCCGCGGGCCAATTCTACATTCCTATCAATGTGCATGTTAAAATGTCAATGTGAATATTCACATTGTCAACGGGCCGGACCGGGCCTACCTCGGGCAGCGGACAAATTTTACACTCCTATCAATGTTAATGTTTACATGTCAATGTGAATATTCACAATGTCACGAGTCGGGCCAAGCCCACCTCGGGCTACGGTCGGGCTTCGGGCCGCCTACGGACTGCGGGCCAATTTTACACTCTTATCAATGTGAATGTTAACATGACAATATGAATATTCACATTGTCAACGGGCCAGGTCAGGCCCATTCACATTGTCAACGGGCCAGGTCAGGCCCGCCCTAGGCCGCTGGCCAATTTTATACTCTTATCAATGTGAATGTTAATATGTCACGCTGGCCAATTTTATACTCTTATCAATGTGAATGTTAATATGTCAATGTGAATATTCACATTGTTAACAGGCCAGGCCGGGCCCGTCCCGGGCCGTGGGCGGGTTTCGGGCAGCCACGGGGCACGGGTTAATTCTATACTCCTATCAATGTGAATGTTAATATGTCAATGTGAATATTCACATTGTCAACGGGCCGGGCCGGCTCCGGGCTGCGGGAGAGCTTTTGGCCACCCATGGGCCGCGGGTCAATTTTATACTCTTATCAATGTGAATGTTAACATATCAATGTGAATACTCACATTGTCAACGGGTCGGGCCGGGCCGCCCATGGGCCGCTGGTGGGTTTCGCGCCACCACGGGACGCGGGCCAATTTTACACTCCTCTTAATGTGAATGTTAACATGTCAATGTGAATACATTGTCAACGGGCCGGGACCGCCCCGGCTCGCGGGCTGGTTTCGGGCCGCCCACGGGCCAATTTTACATTCCTATCAATGTGAATTTAAAAATATGAATGTTCATATCATAAAATTGCTAAGGGTGTGTTTGGTAACGTTTACGTTTTCAGTTTATATTTACAAAAATTTTATAAACTGGTTTTTGTTTATTTTTTGTTTATTTTTAGAAAAACATAAACTACAAACGCGTTTGGTAATTGACAAAATGTTTAAAAAAAATTTAAAATATAAAAAGAGTGAGAAATAACAAGTGGTGGCAAGTGACGGCAGAAAACGGTGGTGGAAAGTGATGACGGTGGGTGGTGGGTAGCTGGTGCTATCCAGGGTGGCACATACCTACTGAATATAACATGGATGAATTGAGTTGAGTAGTACTACTCATGATTCACGAGTCATGATGACCTTCGTTTCAATCAAATATATGAGTTGCTGCTGTCCGTTGAGAATTTTTAACGAGTTTTTTGCCCACAAATCCTACGGCACTGTGTCTTGCAATAAGGACCACAAGTATTTTGTCAGTTTTTAAACTCCCTTAATGTACGATTCTCCTTGACACCAAAATTAATAATTCAAGGACTATAATCAATTATTGAGGGAAAAAGATAAATAATTAATATTATTTATATTCTCAATATGCCGCAACACATGTATTTTAATTATCAAATAGGCCGTAAAGTTAGAACACATAATTTATTTTCTGCTTTGATTGCATGTTTGAAATCAAAACATTCATACACACAAGTGAAGAGCAAGCAATTTAACATGTGAACAAGAATGAGCACTCGTATATCAGTACCTAGGAAGCACGGATACGGATATGAGATATGGATACGGTATGATACGGATACGGCGATATGACAAAATTTGAAAAACTAGGATACGGGTACGGCGGGAATACGTTCGTAAAAAATATTATTTTAACAATTTTCGTAATAAGAATGGGTGGTGGTAGTGGTAGCGAGGGGTGGGTGGTGGCTGGTGGAGGGTGGTGGCGGGTAGGGGGGGATGGGGGGGGGTGGTGGGTGGGTCGTGGGTAGTGACGGTGGGTGAGGGGGTGACAGTGGCGGGTGGTGGGTGATAGCGAGTGGGTAGTGATGGCAGGTGGTGGGTGGTGGTGACAAGTGTAGTGGTGGCAGATGGTGGTGGCGGGTGGGTGGTGGGTAGTGGTGGCGGAAGACGGTGGTGGAAAATGGTAGGGGTGGTGGCTAGTGTTGGGTGGTAAAAAAAAAAAAAAAACTGAAAATTCAAAATGGAAACACATTTTTTGTGTTTTCATTTTTTGGCCAAATTTATAAACTGAGACCACTGATTTATAAATTAAAAATTTTACCAAACAAGTTTTTATTTGAGTTTTTTAAATTTTTGTAAATATAAACAGAAAACAGTTTACTAAACGACACCTAACCGTTCAAAAAATATTTATAATGGTATCAAAATTAAATATAAGGGCATAAGTGTCTAAGAAAATAGTGTAAATCAAGAAAAATGACTTTATGGAATAAAACTATACATACATGGGACTAAATGGGTTAAAAAATTCTTTCATGAACTTCTTGGGTTAAAACACTTCTAAATGGGATTTATCAATAATTTTTTTCAACTTATTTAAGCTATTTCTGTCTAATAAATTATAAGCAGAAACTGCACCAAATAATCTGACACAGACTCTCAAACTAAAATAAGCTACAATCACCTTCTAAAAGTTGTACCAAATAGACCCAGTGAAATGATCTCCAATTTTTTTCACATGTCCTTTAATAACATCAATTTCATCGAGTTGATTTTATTTATACAAGAGGTGCATTACATATTATTATTATTTTTATTTTGTTTTAATTTAAAAAATTAAAGAGGTATATATATTTTTTATTTGCTAGATTAGGTCAATCAACAAAATAACTTAAAAGCATGGTCTAATTGATTATATACTAAGATGTAATTAATAATTCGAAATTTTATACAAGAATAAAAAATAACTTGTTAAATTTATATAATTTTCTCATTAAATACTTATTTCAAAACCCTTATATAAAAAACGGTAGTGCTACATGTACCAATTAATGTACATACTGGTGTACTAACTAGTATTATGTTATTATTACTGACTCTACCTATTATATAAATTACAAATAACCAAAACTTCTAAAATTATGCCATTTCATCTGTTGGTATACTAATTAATACACTAATTAATACATATAACATAATTCTATAAAAAATGATCTTCAATTAATAATGTACCAAAGTTAACTCAATTTTTTTTTCAGCAATGATAGGTATCATGAAAAATCTTTCATGAAAATGATCATGAAAGATTTGTGACCTTTGAATTACACTTAGAATAAAATACCACACACTAATCAAGGTAATCCAAAAGTCACAAATCTTTCATGATCATTTTCATAAAAAGTCTTTCATGATCCCTAACATTTCTCTTTTTTTTATGCAAATCTTGACGCCCTTGACAAAATTTCTGCTGCCGCCCTTGCCACGTTAAGAGAAAATTCTAAAGCATTAAAAAAGAAAAAAAAAAAAAAATTAAAAAAGGGGACCGCTTCTCATCACGACAGCAAGTTGCTCCATTCTAAAGCCTTCGCTTAGAAAATAGGTTGACTTTTTAGTTTTTTTTTATAATTTGAGGTTAAAAAGTTTGTTTGAGTTAGATTTTTATTTTTTTGATTTTTGTAAGAAAAAAATAAAATGATTATGATTTAGATATGACATTGTCTTCTTAGCTTTTAGCCTATTTATATTTTTATGGCTATTTTAGTCCAAAATTAACATGCTAAATGAAGCCTAATTTAATTTAAGGATTAGGTTGTCTCCAACTGAATTCGTTGGTTAGATCGGTGCAGTTCGAGTCAATAAATTTATTGCAAGTCTCACTTTAATAATTTGATTTGTTCGTTTCATACATCTCTCTATGTACATCATCTATAAAAAAAACATTTAAAATATTTTTTTTAAAAAATTGAGTTTGGGTAAGTTGATTACACCTTAACTAATTTTGAGACTTTAAATTAATAACTCGACAAATCTCTAGTGAGCCTTTAAGATGACTTGAGCTTGAAACATTTTAAATCTTTTCATCAATAAGTCTAAGTGTAATTAGATAATATTATGTGGACCCAACATATTTAACAACTGTGTGTGTGAAGATATAGTAAACAAAATATATGAAGTAATAGTCATTCTAATATTATTGATAAATTGAATAATTTAAAGAGTTAATTATTTAAGAATCCTATTTATAAATGTTATGGTGGCTCAGGTTCTATTTAAGAGTTTTGGAATCAATAAGTCTTATTCAGTAAAACTGAGAATATTATCAATTTTTTTTTTCTAATTTTTAAAACTAAGAATAATATCAATTTTACATAGTAATGTTCCATATAATTGTTTCACTAATTGATAAAAAAAAAAACAGTGCATGAGATTAAATGTTTTTACTTTTCTATTTATTAGTTTGATTCAACTATTCAATAAAACCGAGAACATTATTAGTTTTTTTCAATTTTAAAAATGAGAACATTATCAGTTCGAGAACATTATTAGTTTTTTTCAATTTTAAAAATGAGAACATTATCAGTTCTTTTATTTTTAAAGGTTTTTATTCCAATTTTCCACATTAATGTTTCAATATCATGCTCCTTTATAGACACAAAACTTTTAGTTTCGCACAAAAAATAATTCAATTTTTTCAAAAAAACACATTAATTTTTTTGTACACATAATTTTTTTTTTAGTGTTTTCAATTTGAAAGTTAATATTTTAAAGTTTTAAAAATCAAAATAAATATCAAATCATCAGGTTTCTTTATAGATAATAAAAAATGATGAACAATCATTGTTTGAAAGGCAATTCCAATTATTAAAAACTTAATAGGACTTGAAAGTCTAAAAAATCTTAGTTAGGATTTAATGATATATAGGTTCATTAAAATTTGTGTGTAAATGTCCCTAATTTAAATTATTAAAATAGAGCCTATAATGAGAAAAATTAATGTGATTGGGGCACCATGAAATTATGCCATCCACTAATCACCAACACTGTTTTGAAAGTAAAAGAAACAAGTTTTGAGAGTAATATAGTAAAAGAAACAAATTTTAAAATATTAGGGGATTTTGAAAGTACTTATACAATTATTGTCCTTTTAAAAGATAAATTAGATAGTGAGGGAGACTATCACCAAATCCTCCTTTTTTCTCTGGTAAATCAACTGGTACATCAACTCAAAATCGTGGTCTTATTATCTTAATCAATCACAATACCTCTAGATACTACCTAATTATTATAAACCCATGACACCAAATTCTAAAGGACTAGAGGCAAATTGATTCCTACAAATAAATCCTAATCATAAAAATGGGAGGTTATCCTTTCGTCTTCTTGCAAAAGACCAGATTGATATCATATCATTTGATTTGTCTACGTAGAGAAGAAATTACTAGGTAAATACCATTATTGTTGTTGACTCCGAAATAACAAATTCCTATGATGTTCAGCACACAATTAATTAATTCATTAATTAATCAACGTAGAGAACCTCACCAAAATCAAGAATGCATAGTGTGTATATATAGCAGTCTTGCTTACAACAAATGAAAACCCAATTTAAAATTGAAGAGAAACAGCAACAATAACAAGATGTTTTTACATATCTTTCTTGTTTTGATTAGTTTTTATACTTTTTTTGGTACATCCCAAAGTAATGTTTTTGGCAATGGTTCAGTTGTGTTTCAAGTGGGTGTGGTTCTTGATTTGGATTCAAAAGTAGGGAGAATGGGACTGAGCCACTTAAATATGGCTCTTAAGGATTTTTATTCGGTTCATGAAAATCACAAAACCAAGCTGGTCCTCCATGTTAGAGACTCCAAGGAACAGGTTATCGACGCTGCAGCTGCCGGTATGTATACTTTTACACATACATGTATAGCTTCTTTTCTTTCTTTTTTTTTTTTTTAAATAAAAAAAATGTTTTCCTAACACATAAGGTTATTCAATTGTTTTGTTTTGTGCACGGATATTGTATAATCATAAGTGACAAGTGGCCTTCTCATCAACGATCTATTGAGCTTCAGCCTTGTATCGCTTAAATTTGTGGAAAAGAAAAAGAAAAAAAAAAGTTCAGCTTTTGATTACCTTAAATGTTGCCCAAAATTGGCTCTTTACATCTTAAGTTTAGGTGTATTGCTTTAATTTGTGGAAAATTAAAAAAAAAAAGAAGTTTAGCTTTTGATCACCTTAACCCAAAATTGGCTCTTTACATCTTAAGTTTAGGTGTATGGTCTGGGTTCGAGCTTTATTCCAGCTTCTTGCTCTTATCAAAATAATAAGATAAAATAGATGTTCTAGAAACATGACAACGTGGCATGAAACCTAAAATTACCTATTAAAAAAAACCATTGGAATAACCAAAGAAGATGGAATAACTCCTACATTACAAGTGAGGCCCTTATGAGCAACAAGATACATTGTAAGAATCGACTAACAAATCCCTTTTGTTTTTGCACAAATTCGTTTTAAAAAATAAAAATAAAAATCAAAAGTTAGAGCTCTAGTTGCACTCTAGGCTGAGTAAAACTACACAAACTAAAATATCTTTATTTATTTATTTATTAATTGACGTGGCACTAATAGTTTTGAAATAGGTCCCATTTTAGTTTCTAAAATTTTATTATTATATGACACATCAATTAATAAGATTCGTTAATTTGTACGAACATTTTCCGTAGGCTAGGCTCCTCTTCGTGACCTGACTGTGATGAATCATATGATCAATTTAGAGCACACTAACTATTACTTCAAAAAAAATTCACCAAAATTTCATCCTTAAGTGTTATGTAAATACATGCAGCTATTGATTTGTTGAAAGATGTGGAGGTGGATGCAATAGTTGGTCCACAAAAATCAGCACAAGCCAATTTTGTGATGGATCTAGGAGATAGAGCTCATGTGCCTGTCATTTCTTTCTCTGCAACAAGTCCTTCTGTGCTTTCCCGAACTCAATACTTTGTCCAAACAGCTCTTAGCGATGACACTCAAGTTGGAGCCATTGCTGCCATCGTTGAGGCCTTCCTGTGGAGGGAAGTTGTCATTATAAACGAGGACACTGATTATGGGAACGGTGTAATTCCATATCTGTCGAACGCATTAAAAGAAACCGCGCGAATTTCCTATAGAAGCATCATTCCTCTTTCAGCGAGCGATGATTTTATTGAGAAAGAATTGTACAAGATGATGACAATACAAACGAGGGTATTTGTGGTGCACATGTCGCATTTTCTTGGCACTCGCCTATTCCTAAAAGCCAAGGAAATAGGAATGTTGAGCGAGGGCTATGTGTGGATCATCACCAATGGGTTGATGGACCTACTCTCTATGGATTCCAATGTCATAGAAGCAATGCAAGGTGTCTTGGGGGTCAAGCCTCGTGTTCCCCAATCCAGACGACTCGATTTCTTTCAAAATAATCCTAATTCTATGATCAAACGAGACGAGTCAAGCATTTTTGGGCTATGGGCATATGACACTATGTGGGCACTAGCTATGGCAGCAGAGAAAGTTGGATTGGAGACACCAATCAACAACATAGAGAACATTAGCACAAAGAATTCGATAAATCTATTTAATTTTAGAATCTCTCAAACAGGTCCTAAACTTCTTGAGGCAATGTTGGGGACAACATTTGAAGGACTAAGTGGTAAATTCTCTCTTCTTAATGGTCGCCTAAACCCATCACCATTCCAAATACTAAATGTAGTTGGAAACCAGGGTAGAGAGGTCGCGATATGGACACAATCCTCTGGTATTTCAAAGGAACTTAATGAAAACGAGACAAAAAATTGTTTCTCACAACCGAAGCAAAACTTTCACACAATTATATGGCCAGGAGGATCAACAAATGTACCAAAAGGCTGGGAATTTCCGGTGAGTGGTAAGAAGCTAAGAATTGCAGTGCCGGTGAGAGGATTTAATCAATTTGTGAAGATGGAAATAGATCCTCATACAAATACGACCATATTTGGTGGATTTTGTATAGAAATATTCAGGTCGGTAATTTCAGCATTGCCTTATGCTGTGCGATATGAGTTCGTTCCATTTGAGATAGCTGATGGTTCGACCTCTTTGAGTTACAATGATATGGTGTGTCAAGTTTCTCTCAAGGAGGTTAGTTCTACACTTACTATTATTGGGTAAATTACACCATTAGTTTCTGTTGTTGAAGTGAAGTGCTACTTTAATCCTTATAATTTCAGTTTGAATCTTAGACTTTCAATTTTGTTATAATGTGACCCCTCTGTCATGCATCGTTAACATTTTGAACTAAAAAAATAAAAATAAAATCATGTATGATTTTTTTCTTAAAAAAAAAAAACTGCAAGGAATAGTGGTGTAATTTATTCATTATATCAGTAGTCTTTATAATTTGTTTTGAATTTTATTTTAGTTCCTATAGTTATCATTCTTTTTCGTTCAAAATTATAACGGCAAATGACAGAGGGATCACAGTGCAATAAAATTGAAAGTATATGATTTAAATTGTTTAAATTAAAATTATAAGAACTAAAGTGATAATTCATGTAAACTAAAGGAACTAATCGTGTAATTTATCCTTAATTATTCTTCTAGGATATAACAAGGGTTAATAACAGTATGGTCCCCAAAATATATAATTTAGCACACTTCAAAGATCAATTAGTTCATTCACGTGGAATTAATTGTTGAAATTTGGTTATTTTTATTTTTTTTTTAAATTTTTTGTTGGAAGTAGAAATATGATGGTGCAGTAGGAGACATTACAATCACAGCGAACAGATCATTCTATGTGGATTTTACATTGCCATTTACAGAAGGAGGGGTAACAATGGTAGTACCAATTACATATGAGGACACAAACAGTAAATGGACATTCTTGAAGCCTCTCAGTTGTGACTTGTGGCTAACCAGTATAGCTTTCTTCCTCTTCACTGGATTTGTTGTTTGGGTTCTGGAACACCGAGTCAACACTGATTTTCGAGGTCCACCTTCCCATCATGTTGGCTTGATCCTTTGGTTCCCCTTTTCAACTCTAGTTTTTGCTCACAGTTGAGTATTTTGTTTTACTTGCACAACGCAATTCAATATTTATAGTTTCTTAATTTTACCTTTAAATTTTTTAAATTGTGCCAATTTTAGTCTAGTGGATATTATCTGTTTAAAAATTGGACTGAAATTAGAAGACAAAACAATTTATTTGCTCTCCTCAAAGTGATTTAGGGTTGTGGTGAGTTTCTATTTATACAATAAAATTTCTCTCAGTCCACCTACATACAATTTTGATTTTTCCTCATTTCACACCACTTTAATCTTCCTAATATATCCTCATCTTTAACTTTCAAATTCCAACTCTAATCTTAATTTGTCAGTCATCACCACCTGTCAACTTGGAACACCGAGTCAACACTGATTTTCGAGGTCCACCTTCCCATCATGTTGGCTTGATCCTTTGGTTCCCCTTTTCAACTCTAGTTTTTGCTCACAGTTGAGTATTTTGTTTTACTTGCACAACGCAATTCAATATTTATAGTTTCTTAATTTTACCTTTAAATTTTTTAAATTGTGCCAATTTTAGTCTAGTGGATATTATCTGTTTAAACATTGGACTGAAATTAGAAGACAAAACAATTTATTTGCTCTCCTCAAAGTGATTTAGGGTTGTGGTGAGTTTCTATTTACACAATAAAGTTTCTCTCAGTTGACCTATATACAATTTTGATTTTTCCTCATTTCACACCACTTTAATATTCCTAATATATCCGCATCTTTAACTTTCAAATTCCAACTCTAATCTTAATTTGTCAGTCATCACCACCTGTCAACTGCCACCTCAGTCCCTCCCCTTCCCTCTTCTTGCCCATCCCCCTCTTGCCTAAAAAAAAATAAAAATAAAATTAAAATTTCTCACGAAGGGTGGCAGCTAGTGGTGATGGGATTGGGAGAGAATGTGTACCTATTGTTCTTAATGGTAATTTGCTTAAGAGGCACAATTATAATTCAAAGATTTAAAAAATAATGTGAAGGGAAGAAACACTATGATGTGCAAATAATTGATTGATGACTATTGCTTCAAAATTTTAATAGACCATTATCTCTGTCTAATTTGTCAATGATGTTATCAATTAAACTAAATTATCGCATGAATAAAATTGATACAACTGAAATTATAGATTCTAAATTAACACAAAAAACAAAATACAAAAACTACGAGTACATGTATTGCTTGCTTCCCATGAACCTCATATATATATGTATGATTTTGTAGGAGAGAAACTAGTAAGCAACTTGGCTAGATTGGTGATGACAATATGGTTGTTTGTGGTGCTGATATTGACCTCAAGCTACACTGCAAGTTTGTCAGCAAGATTAACGGTGCAGAAGCTTCGACCCACTGTGACTGACGTGAATGAACTCATCAAAATGGGGACTACGTTGGGTACAGATCTGGATCGTTCATTGCTGATATCTTGAAGGACATGGGGTTTGATAAATCAAAGATCACACCTTGCAAATCTCGTGATGAATGTAATGAAGCTCTATCCAAAGGTAGTAATAATGGAGGCATATCGGCCTTGTTTGGTGTGGCTTCTTACAATAAACTTTTTGTATCAAGATACTGCGGTAAATACACCACAATTGGACCCATCTATCAAACTGATGGATTCGGCTTTGTAAGTTTCTCTTCTATATTATATATATATATATATATAAGTCTACATATTAAAAAACCAAACATAAAATTAGATACACAAAATAAATGGATGATGGTTTGATTTGTGTTTTCTATGTCATGTTCTGTGTTTAGCATGGAACTAAATCTTGTTAAAATTAATGTCATATTTACATTAGATACATTGGATATATTGCATGCATTGGATACATTGAGTTTATACATTCTTGGTATTCATGTATTTTATATTTATTAAGTACATTGTCTAGATTATATTAATATACATAGTTAATTGCAATGTTATTTAGGTTCATGAATCTTATTCATTGAACTTTTGTATAACCTTTTCTATATAAAAGGATGTAAGTCTATGGCCAAAATATATGAATCAATAAGTGAGAGAAAAATTCAATACATAATAATAGTTCATTTTAGAGAGAGTTTTATCAAAAGCTAATAAATCTTTCAATTTTTTTGGTTGATAAATTGAAACTTATCACATATTATGGCTCGATTTTATCAATTTGTCACAGGAGGCTTTAAAGGTTTTATAAAAACGAATGGAATTTCACATTGGGAAAAATTATGATAGAGTGCGGGAATTATCTTATAATTGACTCAATTCTTAATTTTTATTGCACAATATGTAGTATTAGTCACTTATTTTCTAATGTTCAAATAGAAAAAAATATTTTAATCACTATAGTTAAGGTTAATTATATTTTTTAGTACCCAAAGTATAAATCTTGTGTCAATTTGGTTTCAATATACAAAAATATTTCAATTTAGTTTCTAATGTTTAAATTGTGTCAATCTAATCCCCAATGTATAAAAGTATTTCAATTAAGTCTTCCAATTTAATTGACTCTATAATTACCCATGTTATTCACTCTTACATTAATAGGTTTTCCCCAAAGAGTCTCCATTAGTAGCTGATGTCTCTAGAGCAGTAATCTCCAAAACAGAAGGTCTCAAGATTTTGGAATTTGAGAGACAGTTATTGGGAAATCCCGCCACATGTATAGTTCCAGAAATCAATACCAGCACCTCAAACAGCCTAACCCTCCAAAGTTTTGGAGGCCTCTTTGCTATTACTGGCTTTGTCACTGTTTTATGCCTTGTTGCATACATATCCAAGTACATTTTTCAAAACAAAGATCTTTTCAAAACAGTATCAGATTCATGCCCACCAACTCCTTGGTCAAGATTTTGTGCACTTTGTAGACAATTTGATCAAAGAGACCTCACATCTTATCCCTTTAGCAAGAAGAGAGATAACCCAGGTCATGATTTGGAATTGAATCATGTTGGTGATTCATCAAGTTGTAGTGATATGCCAAGCTTATCGAGAAATTGTAACTCCAATGGAATGGTTATTCCATTAGAAGTGGAGACGGAAAGTGCTAGTGAGGTTGTCGATTCGAACGTAGAAGATGCAGTTGTGGTGCATTTGCCAGAATAGCTATATTTCACACCAAGATGTACTTTTAGACTGTATTTAAATCTTGAATTTAATGTGAGATTTTAAGGAAAAGGTAATGGAAAAATGACAAAATTTTGAACTTTTTCCTTATCTTTTTCTCTTTCTTTTTTTTGTACAAATTTCTATTTGAATTTAAAGTCTTATCGCTTTAATTTAGTAGAAAGGGAGAAAGCAGTGCGAGAAATCTAAGCAGTACAATGTGTTATGCCATTTTCCATGCATGATTGCAGATTGCTATATTGCTTTCTACATTTTGTCAAATTGTTTAGGTTGTTGGCAAATTTTTTCATTCTAATTTACACAGCCAACATTGCAAATAATTAAAGTGCATATCATGTAGTTTCTTGCATTTTAAATCTTTTGAATCGACAAGTAAAGATTATGAAAAAACCAAGCAAATTATATCTGTGGTTCTTGTAATTTATTTTTGGGCAAATTACAGTAACAATCCTTATAGTTTGTGTGATGGCCGGTTTTTTTGGTTGATAAATTGGAACTTACCACATAATATGGTTCGATTTTATCAATTTGTCACATAAGGCGTTGAGGGTTTTATAAAAACGGATGGAATCTCACATTGGGAAAAATTAAGATAGAGTGTGGGAATTATCTTATAATTGATTCAATTCTTAATTTTTATTGCACGATATGTAGTATTAGTCACTTATTTTCTAATGTTCAAATATAAAAAAATATTTTAATCACTATAGTTAAGGTTAATTATATTTTTTAGTACCCAAAGTATAAATCTTGTGTCAATTTGGTTTCAATATACAAAAATATTTCAATTTAGTTTCTAATGTTTAAATTGTGTCAATCTAATCCCCAATGTATAAAAGTATTTCAATTAAGTCTCCCAATTTAATTGACTCTATAATTACCCATGTTATTCACTCATAGATCATAGGTGTCACGTTACGTTTATGTAGGTGTCACGTTACGTTACGTTTATGTAAATGTCACGTCACGTTACGTTTATGTAAGATCTTGTGGAATACATTTCTATCTAAATATGACTTGAGACTCTATAAGAAATTACACAGGACTTAGCCTTCCATAAGTGTTTGAAAAAGGACTTATAAATAAGTCTCCCTTAATTTTTCAATTGCGACACATTTGACGTTAAATTTTGAATTTTACTCTAAATAAGGATAATAAAAGATATTTCCTTTGCAAACGGTCAATTTCAAGGGTAAAGTTATCGTATAACTTATTTTGTGTTGGTTAACTTCTATATTATTTGACATTTAATGGCCTTTTTTTTAATAAATAATACTGAAACTTTATTGGTTATAAAATTATATTTGGTTTGGTTTCAGAATCTATTTTTAGAATTTTTTTCTATGAAACTAAAAATTAAATTAGTGAGAAAAATTAAAAGCACATCAATTTTTTTCTTAATAATTTTATCTTTTGAGAGGGTAGAAATAATTTTTTAAAATTTATTTTTTGTTAAATTAATTTATATTTTTTCAAAAGTCAAACGTGACGACAACTTTGATTTTATTATTAAACCAATCCTTTAAATTAAAAAAATTCAAAATAAAAACATTTCATATATCATACATATCAATTACATATTAAAAATCTAATAACCATTGATAACCATCCAAACATATCTATCACCAACAAATACGACCATTTATTACATGATGACCATAAAAAAATATCAACAAAAACAACTACCTATTACATAATTTTCATCAAAACACATACTAAAAATTAATTTGGTAAAAAAATAAAAAATAAAAATATAAAAAATTGATCATTTTTATATAATTTTATGTTTGATGAGTAGAAATAATTTTTAAAACTTCAAAAATAATTTTTTGACATTTAATTTTGTCAAACTATTTTATATTTTATCAAATTGATGACTTTGCCCTTGAAATAGAGCGATGGTGTCTTCAATTATCATTATTTGAAATGAGATTCAAAATTTTGGATCAAATGTATTACAATTGAAAAGTCAATGATTAAAGTGACACAACCCGCAAACTACAAGAACTGTTAGTGTAATTCGTCTTTTATTTTTTGTGTAATTTGATCCATGCATTTTTAATTGTATTAATTTTACGTTAATTTAGTTCAATTGATAATATCACTAAAAATTAGATATAGAAATTTAAGGAAAAAAATAATACATTCAAAAAGGAACGGACCCGTTTCAAATTAGAGGTACATGATTATTATGGCCATTGATTTCATTCAAGTTTCTGAAAGGGCATTATTAATTGGACTAAAATGTGTCAATTTTTTCTGTTTAATTTTGAATATAATTTAGCTTTTTGAGTAAAATTTGGAAAAAATTAAAATATGAAGGACCAAGTGAAAAAATAAATAAATTTTAAAGGTTAAAGTAAGAAAATAGCCAAATATAAGTGGGACAAAATGTAACTTACCCTTACAAAAACAGATTGCTTATTCTTATTCCGACAACAACATAAAGTTGTTCCCCTCCCTCCTAATTTAATTTGAAGCAATGTTAGGAATACAAATTTTGTAACCAAAATTTCTAATAAACACTAACATGGGTGTGGACACTCCCCCACAGTCATATGAGTGTTTGATAGAAAATTTAGAATTTAACATTTTTATTTAATTTAAGGATTAGCATGACTCCATTCCACTTCATGGGTTAGTTCGGTGAAGTTTGGGTATGTTAATTTATTTATGATTTGTTCATTTTACAAGTCTTTCTCAGAAAATTACTCACAAAATTAATAATAAAAAATTAATAAAATTTGTTTAATTACTAAAAAATTAATTAATTAAAATAATTTTATTTAATAATCAAGTGTCTAAACTAGCTTTTGTATACGTCATCTAATCTTAGGATTTCGAAATTAATGACCGGATAAATATCCAGATCTCTTAGAATGATTTGAATTTAAAACACTAAATCTTATCCTCAATTAATTAATTATAACATCATAATTTTATGTGAGACTCATGGTATGTGTGCTACATATGAAGAGACAGTAAATTAAATATGAAGTAATAGTTATTCTAATATTATTGATAAATTCAATGATTTGAATGATCAAAACATAGCCTGTTGTGTGTGCTGTTTTCTAACCACACTGTCAGACAGATACTCAGCTGGAGAACACCGGCAGAATAGATTACGCCCGAACGATCTGTCACAGAAAGATGAGACTCTGGCGGTGATTCGTCCACCCGGAGGTACTCCGACGATTAAGTCAATAATCAATATCTCTCAAAGATAGCCAATTGTGCTTAACTCACAAGCCATAATACAAAAAACGTACCTTAGACCCACGAGGGTGCCTTTCTTTTATAGTCAGCACTAACATGATCCCTGTAGAAGCCTAGCTTCTCTTGGACTCTGGCTCAATGCTCATCCTGGACTCTCCAATGGATAAAGGTAAACTCCCTAAGAGTTTTGTCCTTATCTAGGCTGAAGTCCTCTCCCATTCTAGGGCTCTTATAGCTTATCCGCTTATCCTGGATTCCAGTATCTCCGCAGATAACCTCGGCCTAGCCGAGATCATTTTGGCGTCATGACCAGGACACGTGGCACCTCAGCTGGCACTTCGATGCCACCTTGGCCACGTGTTGTCATTAACAAAAAATATGTCCCCACAACTGCCCCCTAAGTTCTATTACCTCGGCATCCTGAGGTGATGAAACCTATATCATTCAACCATATAGCATGTGTGCTAAGCTTACTCTATCCTTCATTACCGAGGTCATCATCCGTAGGCTCCATATGATGAAGACCTGTAGTCTGTTTTGTCAATGCCTTAGAACCAAGAGCCAAGTTTTCCAAGTTTCTTAACCGAGATCATTCCCTTAGCCGAGGTCTTTGCTTAATTAAATCAAGAACTTCAAGAGTTTCTACACAAGTATGAGTTGTCACGCACGGTAACTCAACCATTTTCGCCACGCGTCTCTTCCCTATTGAACTGTACCTGACATACGCCATCAAGTCGCGTCGCTTCTGCGTGCGTCGCCTGACAAGCACATTGTCTTAGGTACATTCAATATCACTTTGCTGCCTTTTCATGTTTTGATTAAAAATATCCCTCTCTCTCCGTCTTTTCACTTTTGCATCTCCGTTCTCACTCAAGCTTTCTCTCTCAAATCCTCCATTTCTGTTTTCGCGAAGCTTTCTGCGACTACTTTCATTTTTTCCCTCCGGCGAGGCTTTCAACGTTCTGCCACTCGTACGACCATCGTTCAACTTCGGTGTACCTCACACCGGCGTCATTCCCTCTGGTAATTCACTGCTTTCCCCCTTATCAATTTATGGTTTACCTAAAAAACTCAACTGCATTATTTGTTGCCATTGCGAACCTGTTCATGTTCTTGATTATTAATTTGTGCGTTGAATTCTATCATGTATTGAGCATGTTTGTTTCATGATTTCGCTTCTGCCCAATCTCTTCCTAAGTACACACACTCTGCTCTCATACTTGTTTATTTTGCCACTGTTCTTGGCCTCACACCCTTGTACACATTTTGTCACAGTGTTCTTTGAATTCTTGCTCGTCTTCTTGAGTTTGAATTACTGTTGTTTTCTGTTTTCTTGTTGCATTTTCCAGATTTCTTGCCTTCAATTTTCTGCTTCTACATAGATTAGGCTTGGGTTTCGGTAGAGAAACCACAAAATTTTAGGAAAACTGAAACAAATTCCCTTTGATCTTGAAAAAACCCTTGCCCCAGTTTCTATTTTGAGTTTAGCCGAGGTCCCTCAAAACCATACAAACCATTTTCTTTTGAATTCTCTCACCTTGCCCTTCTTAGCTGACATCATGGGTATGTTTAGGTGGAGGGTAGACACCCCAGAGAAGCTTGAATACTTTAGGCAAGAGTTCTCCATCCCTGCCGACATTCATATTAGGTTGGTTGGGGAGGAGGACTCCATCATGCCCAAAGACAACTCCATGCCCTTCCCAGTAGCAGCCTTCATTGAATGCGGGCTTAGGCTCTCCCTTGACATCCTTTTCCGCCAAGTCCTTCACTACTATAAGCTTAACCCGATGCAATTAGCCATTAACTCTTACAGAGTTATCAACGGTATCATTGCCTTAGCTAA